CAAGCAGATGGAACCTCTGTAATTAATTTATTTTAATTCTATAAGTGTGTATATGTAATTCTCCCAATAAGTTCTGCGCCGGTGACAAATTCACAAGACAATATTGTAACTCTGTTTCAATGGCAAGAACGAATTGGAGGAAATGTTGTTCTATATGCATGTGATAATTAAATTTGATATCGATAAAACACATGAACATGGTATAATTGTGTGTAAGCTTTCAACACGTGCAGGATGAAATGCATGTGTGTTTGTATGCCCATCGTCCTTCCCTCCTCCATCATCTATACATTTCTTCTTCTTCTTCTTTCCAAAAAAAGTTTATGAGTTGGGTTCTTAAAGCTCATCAAGATCACAACATGCTTTTAAACTCATTATACATTTCTTCTTTATTGATAAAAAGGAAAAAAGCACCATAGACTATATTTTTCACATGTAAGAGGCATACGTGTGTGCTTGTGTGATGATTGGTTGGTTAATTGTAATTTTCCTGCAAGGGATAAAGCTATAATATTTTATTAAGAAGGCCAAAATGGCAACATATATAATAATCAAAAGAAAATTAAATTTATATATATCACTAACATAATAAAAAAAATTTAAGGTATATATTTATATTCAATGTTACATACATACAGTCAAAATAAATAAATGCCTTTATTTTTTAAGTTTTGCTCATCAATTTTTCATGGCAAAAGAATAATTAATTATTATGTCTACAATAAAGTTTTTAGCAATTTTCTTCTCAATATAAACTATCATTAAATTAGTGAAGATTTCATCCTTCCCATGAGTATTGAATAATTTAAATGCATTCTTGGGATTTAAAATTTTTTAATATAAAAAAAACTCTATTACTTACTTACCGAATTTACTATTTAATTTTTTAATTAATAATTTTAGTAAATAAAATATAACACGATAATGATATTCAATTGTCCCAATTCTTTATATTGATGAGATCTAAGTATATTATAGTAAAAATCATTCATATAATAAATTTTAATAGCTTGATTATTACATAAAATTTACTTTTTTTTAGAGTAACATATTTTAGCCATAATCTCTTAACTTTTGAGTAAGTAATTTTATGATGGATATCAAGTACATGTTATTCAAATATATTGAAATTTTTGTTGTAGTGCTTGACAAAATTTATTAATAATAATTCTTATAATTATTTTCATCAAACATAAAAGATAACAAAATCAAATGACATCAATACTTTAAATGTAATTGTAAATTATTTTGTTAAAATTAAGTAGATTTTATAACAACTATATCTTCAAAATAATCAAATAATTGGACTATATATATATATATATAATATTGTAGAATTGAAATGGGATTTAAAATTTTATTTAATATAAAAACTCTATTACTTACTTACCGAATTACTATTTAATTTTTTAATTAATAATTTTAGTAAATAAATATATTAACACGATAATGATATTCAATTGTCCCAAATTCTTTATATTGATGAGATCTAAGTATATTATAGTAAAATCATTCATATAATAAATTTTAATAGCTTGATTATTACATAAAAATTACTTTTTTTTAGAGTAACATATTTTAGCCATAATCTCTTAACTTTTGAGTAAGTAATTTTATGATGGATATCAAGTACATGTTATTCAATATATATGAAATTTTTTGTGTAGTGCTTGACAAAATTTATTAAATAATTCTTATAATTATTTTCATCAAACATAAAAGATAACAAAATCAAATGACATCAATACTTAAATGTAATTGTAACATTATATTGTTAAAATTAAGTAGATTTTATAAACAACTATATCTTCAAAATAATCAAAAATTGTTGGACTATATATATATATATATAATTATTGTAGAATTGAAATGAGAATTTCATTTATATTTTAAAACTTTATAATATATGCTAACTTAAAAAGGCTGAAAAAAATGTAATCTTTACATTTTGATTAAAAAAAATTAAAAGATTAGAGAGGGTCGTGGGTTCTGCTGATCCTGTGTCTCTCTACTCATTTCGTTTGGATTTTTATCATACAATATTTAAATAAATATCTATCTCAAGTATTAGCTCACCAAGCAGCCTTGTTCCTTTTCATTGGACTTTTCTTTAATTTCCTTCAGCGATCTAACATGTCCATGGACGCATCATGACCTAACTATGATATTAAATTTTTTTTTATTTGCAAGTCATTTTGCAAAGTTGATAAATTCCGTAATTTTTTTAAGCATGCTTTTTGTATGGACATTGTTGGTTGATTATGATAGAGATAATATTGAAAAATATTTTACCTGAAAAAATATTAAAAAAGATTAATACAAATGAATGTGATTAATAATATTTTCAAAATATTAAATAAGTTTGAGAAACCAATACATTTAACTAGTTTAGTGTTGAATACTTCTCTCCCATCTACAATACTGGACATTTGAAAACTATTTCACGTTCTGAGACATTTAGTTGAAAAATTTGTTTCTTAAGAGATTATAAATCTTTCTAATTGTACTGTTATTTTGACTTAAAATAAATGATAATTGGAATTTTAATTGACCATTTTTTTAAGTATAGTGTACGGGTTAAAAAAATTATAAAAATTAATGAAAGATATACTTCTCTGTCTCAATCTCAAATGATAAAGCATAATACTCCCTCCATTTCTATATTAGAAAAAAATTGTATTACACAGTTTGAAAATGTTGGTTAATCATAATAATTATGTCTGAGGATAAAAAATTGAACTAAAATACCTTATATTTATCAACATAAATATGCATTAATTATTTCTTATTAATATAAATTATGAGAAGTGATTTAAAAAAATATAATAAATGCTTATTAAAATATGTAATTTTTTTATATAAAAAAAGTAAAAAGTAATAATTTTTTCTACAAATAAAAATGAAGGGAATAGAACACAATTAAAAATAATTGAGATAAGACTACGTATATCAATAAAATACAATAATAGTATTTTATAAATTTATTTTTAAAAAAATAAAATTATAAATGTTTTAAAATATTTTTATACACTTCATTATTATATTATGATTATTTCAATTCTCTTTTCACTTAAAAAAAAACATATTAAAATAGGCATGTTATTCAAGTAAGCAAGTTCCCAGCTCTCGCCTCCCTGCACCAAGAAAAGGTCGGATGCTTCGAGTAGTAAAGAAAGAGAAATAAAATAACGTAAAAGAGATTTTTATAAAAATCATTTCATTAATTTTGATTATAAGTTTTTTATGCTACTATTAAATATTGAAAAAATATATTATTAAAGTATATGCTTTAACAAAAATAAAATTAAAAAGTTATTAAATTTTTAAATAACATTAATGAATTTTAATTTTTTAATTTTAATAAAATATGTTAAAAATCATTTATATATAAGATTAGAGGAATATAAAAGAATAAAATAAGGTTAATTGAAACGAAAATGAATGTGATTAAACTATGCATCTTGTCTGACGAAACATGTGGCGCTGCCTGCCGGACAGGTGTGGATTGAATATTGATGTTGATACGATGAGAGTCCACCACTTTTTCACTTTTGTCTCTTTGTGATAATGTTACCGTCTCTTTCTTCTTTATGCAACTCCTTGCCGTCTTGCGGTCCCGTGTCCTATTTTTCTCCTAATAAGATAAAATAAAATTCAAACACTTCCATTTTTTAATTCCCCAGTCAAAATTCAAATTTGCGGATACTATCTTCTGTGAGAGGACCCGCTGTTTCAAAAATCAAAAGGGTAGGTTTGTGGCCCAGCCCATTACCCATGTTGTATGCGGCCCAAATTGTAAATCCACATTACTATTTGTCCCCGGGACGATCAACTTTATTTTATTTTTTAAAAAAATTAAGTAAATGATATGAAAATTGATTCTGAAGGCTGAAGCGGAGGTGAGGTTCGTGCTGCTGCACCCTGATCAGTCACATCAAAATTTTGAAGCTGAAACGCAGAATCAGATACTTGTACAAATGCTTTACTCTCGGAATCTGGCTTCCCTTATTAAAAAAAGAAAAAGAAAAAAAGAATCTTACTTCCATTCCATGCCTATGTTGGGTGGCGAACCAATAATTCAGTTCTTTTTTTTTTTCAAAACAACAGTAATAATTATCAAACCTGATCCACTCAAATCAACAAGAGTGCTCATGAATATCATTAATTATTAATTATTAAAAAGTTCACCTCATTCCAATCATTAAAATTAAAGTAAATAGGCTCATGAGTGGCATTAAAAGTTTTGGAGGCTAACTATTCATGAGCTATTCGCCTTTAGCTAATCCCTTTGATTTTTATAAATTTGCTATTTGTTTCTTGTACTCTATATAGGATTAGAGGGAGAATTTCCCACTCATCTAGTACTGAAAAATAAAAATAAAATAAATAATAATTTTCTACATAAAAAACATGTTTGTGTTCTCCAACCAAACAAAAAAATAAAATAAATATCGTAGATTTTGATTTGATTTATTGGGCGCAGAAAAGAATCTCTTATCCTTACGCTTACTAAGGGAACTTTTATACAGTTGGTTCAAATTGTGGAGTGAAAATTTTAAATTACTGTATACTTCTCAATCCATATGATAATTGACTTGTCAAAATCAATATAGAAGGCGCGGAGAATTAAAAAAAAAAATAACTGTCAACTAAAATAACACTATAAATATTTTCAAGCATTTGACAAGATTCATGAACTCTAATTTTTTATTATTAAATTAAAATTAGATACGTGATCCATACAAGTATATTTAAACTGGAAATACTAATAAGACCAAGCTAAGTGCAAGAAACTACTTAATTAACAAGCTAGAGCCAGGAATAACTTGTCAACTATAAATTATGTAAATTAAAATGACAAGACAAATTCCATTCTTAACAAATTGACTCCCCCACTCACTACCTCCAGTATTATTTAGATCAATTAGCTGGTTAGGTAGAAGACAAGCATTGCAGATACAATTTACTTTGTGCTGTACTATATTATATATATATATATATAAGAAAATTGAAGTACAATATTTGTCACGGAAATACAAATACGAATATGATTGCGAGTATGAAACCGAAAAAAGAGAAGGAAAATGAAGAATACATGGGAGGCAGTGATTAATAAGAAAATTAACATTATGTAGCTCTTTAACGAACTGTTTCGGCACTCCATAGTAGCACGAATCTTCTTCATATATCCACGTAGCATGCCGGAGCTCCGGTCAGAGGGACCTGACCGGTGACCCCTTTCTTCAAGCTCATCATGACGTCACACTTCACGTAAATCCCATAATGCCCAGTTCTTATAGCTCCGGTCTTCCACCTCAGCCTGCCCTGCATGATCACGCTCACCCCCACCACACCATACGCCTCGTCCATTGCCAACCCATTAGACACATCCGGCGAAACCGGCACCGGCGACCCTCCAATCATTGGAGACAGAGACACCGAGCTGTGCTCCTCCATGTAAAGCGCCGGAAACGCAACCGGCGTTGTGATGGGGTGGCTCCGGTACGACACATAGGCGTTGAGGGTGTCGAAGTAGATCGCGACGCGCCTGTTGGGGTTCTGTATGACGATAGTGAACTGCATGGAGGTTGACATCAGCGGCGGCGTGGTGGCGTTGAGGCCGTAGACGGCGGCACTGACCACCGCGAAGTGGGGCTTGGAGGGGCGGTAGATGAGCCAGAGGACAAAGATCAGGAGGCCAACAAGGAGGACGACGGTGGTGATGCAGGTGCAGAGGGCCCGCCGGTTGGGCTCGTCCGGCCGGTAGCTTGATGAATCCGTGGGCTTGGACATGGGCTTTACAGGGGTCGGTGGGGGCTGATAATTTTGGTTTTGGCGAAGGTTGGGGCGTTCTCTAGGGGGAGGAACTTGATGATGATCCTCCATTGATATAGTGAAGAAGCAGGTTGAAAGGGACTGTGTGTCTGTGTATGAATGTGACTTAGGAAAGAGACAGAGTGGTGGTGGCTAGCGAACAATGTTAAAAGTAGAGGATAGTGAGTCTGAATTGATGGAGCAGAGAATTCAAAGTTATCATATAAAAACAGGAAAGGGAATCGGGTCACTTGGAGCTCAAGTAGAAGCAGATTACCAAACGGGTCATAGGTAAGGTGATTGTTGAGGACACATGCATGGTTGCCATTGATCATCGGGTAACTTGGAATTAAAGCAGAATGATCCGTTTTGTGATGTTATTAATGCTTTGGGATATAGCCTATATTTTACTAGAGAGCTTCTTTTTGCTTTTGCTTTTTACAGGGAGGGACAAAGAATAGAGAATATTGGTTGAGAGGGAAGGGAGAAAGAAGAGACTGCAAATGTGTTGCGTGACAAAACTATGGCTTGAGAAGAATTTTGACGGGTTAATAAGCAGATGGAGTTTTAGAAATTAGAATAGAATAAAAAAGCTCGACTGTGGATTATTTATATGTGGGTAACTCACTACTGTCATCATGTCATGTCATGACACAGGAAAATACATCCATTATAATGTTTGAACGACTCCTTTTATGTTTTCAGGCCAAATTATTTGAATGAAATGGACTTTTTATTTCCAACAAAGTTAGGAAAATGGGCATGCCCTTTGACAAGCTAGGACTTAAAAAAGTTTATCCGTTTAAATTGAGTTCTCTTTGTAACTTTGAGATGTGAAGTTTGACCCTTGATATAATGAGCTCAAGATTGGACTTATAGATTTCAAATCATTTTAATCATTATTATTTTTTTAAATTTTTTATCAAACAAAAAATTTCTTTATTCCAAATAATACCCAATCAAAAAAATAATAAAAAAACTAACTAAACAACATTTAAATGAACTAAAAACGCAAAAGAAATGACAACAAGTCACCAAGTAATGAATGTTAAGCCAACAAACACTCAATCTAAATCATATGAGATTAAAAGATTGAGGTATGAGATTGAGAGATCTAGATGAATTAAGAGATTTAAGATTTTTTTTTACCTACATTCTTTAACAAATATGGGCTCACATGTGATGTAGAATAAGATTTAGTCCAAAAGAATCAAAGTTATGAAAATTAAAAAGAAAGTATATATAGGTTTAAAAGGGCTAGCTCGATTTATCCTTTTATTTTTTTATTTACAAATCCGACCTTATTGTTATACAGATTTAAATGGTCTAGCCTAACGGACTTAGCCTGTTTTCCCAGCTCTATGCTCAAGATTAAATACAATGCATCTATCTCTCAAAATTTTGAAAAGGAGGGGAACCTTCTCTTCTCTCACCTCATATTGCTCCCATTCAAATTTGGGTATTTTTGGAGGGAAGTTAAAAATTTTGACTATATTGCCCTCAGTTTTTATTGATATTTTATAAATGCACTTGTGTAAAAAACAAAACCTTCCCTCCTAGCATGTGAATAATATCAGATACAAGTGGAGTGTCATGGATGGTGCTGATATTAAAAAATTGCTAAAATTGAAGATAGAAGACGTAACGAAACACATATTTCTATATGCGTTCTTTCCTTCCTATCTATTTACTCGAAAAATTTTGATGTCAAGTTATCAAAAGGTGAAATAACAGAGAAAGTTTGTTCTAAACCTTCCTCCCATACTGGACAAAAAATAAATAAATGATAACTTTCCTGTTCTAAATCTTCCTCCCATGTGAAAGAAGAAGAAATAATATAAATTTATTAATAATGCGCAACATTTAAAAGTTGTAATTTAATTTAATTAAGGTGAAAAAAATATTTAATATAAGAAACAGTTCTTTTAAAAGTAAACTAGGAAATAATAGCAAATTACTTATTATTATCCCTACATAATGTGTTGTAGTTCAGATGCTACACGTGTAATTGACCATTTCCCCAAAACACATAATACGTGTAATTGACCATTTCCCCAAAACACACTAATATACTTCTTACATTTCGGTTATGCTTAGAAAGCACCCTGCACTTGTATTGCTGAAGAGATTAGGAAATGGGAAAGCGAGATTAGGAAATATTTTACAAGCTGTTTTCAAAATTTCAAAGATGCATTTAGTTGGGAGATTTTGAAGGAAAGGAGAGATAATCCCTTCCCTTCCCCTTATTTAGTTGAAAAATTTTGAAAAGGAGGGGAACCTTCTCTTCTCTCACCTCATATTGCTCCCATTCAATTTGGGTATTTTTGGAGGAAGGTAAAAATTTTGACTATATTGCCCTCAGTTTTTTATTGATATTTTATAAATGCACTTGTGTTAAAAAACAAAACCTTCCCTCCTAGCATGTGAATAAAATATCAGATACAAGTGGAGTGTCATGGATGGTGCTGATATTAAAAAATTGCTAAAATTTGAAGATAGAAGACGTAACGAAACACATATTTCTATATGCGTTCTTTCCTTCCCATCTATTTACTCGAAAAATTTTGATGTCAAGTTATTAAAAGGTGAAATAACAGAGAAAGTTTGTTCTAAACCTTCCTCCCATACTGGACAAAAAATAAATAAATGAATAACTTTCCTGTTCTAAATCTTCCTCCCATGTGAAAGAAGAAGAATTAATATAAAATTTATTAATAATGCGCAACATTTAAAAGTTGTAATTTAATTTAATTAAGGTGAAAAAATATTTAATATAAGAAACAGTTCTTTTAAAAGTAAACTAAGGAATATAATAGCAAATTAATTATTATTTTCCCTCCTCCCTCCCAAGCCAAACAACATATAATTAAAATCCCCTCTCCTCCCCTCAAACAAAATCAAATAAGACATCATTAAAATCTTCCCCTCCCCTCCATTCCTTCTCTTTCAAACCAAACACAGTCCAATACTTCTGCAAGTTGGTTGGCACATGACCTAGCAGATATGGAGTTAGACTTGTGCATTTTGACAGAATTGCCGACCCAGTGCAAAGACGAAAGATTTGATGTTCCCAGAATGTTTTGCTAGGCTTTTAGCCTCCATTTATAAACCTTCAAACAAAATCAAGTAAGACATCATTAAAACCCTTCCCCCCGCTCCATTCCTTTTCCTTCAAACCAAACACAATCCAATACTTCTGCAGTTTGGTTGGCGCATGACCTAGAAGATATTGAGTTAAGCTTGTACATTTTGACAGAATCGCCAACCCAATGCAAAAACAAAAGATTTGATGTTCCCAAAATGTTTTAACGGGCGTGTTGACCTGTTGTTTAATTGCTGGGCTTTTAGCCTCCATTTATATTCTTAAAAACAGAAAAAAATTAATTTTATAGATACTGCTAGATAAATCTGGTTCAAATAATTTTAGTGAATTACCAATTCTTTTCAGCACCAGTAAACTGCTTAATGAGAAATCAAACCCATGGCCATGAATTAGCAGTACCCATCGGGGGAAAGCATATACAATTATGTAAAATCAGGAAATTAAAGAAATCCCAGTATCTCACTTGATAATTACAACCCTAAACTTATCATTGACTGACCAGCTAAATGAAACCACTAAGAACGACAAAACCACTACCTTGTAAGTTATCATCCTAACTCTCTTGCCTCACACTACCCAAAAAAAAAAACGAGAGAATAAGTTTCCACCAGCCACACAAACTCTACGGCTAATCCTTCACAGAAATCAATGTTGAACTCTGCAATGCAATGGAGTAAGACATAAGACAAACTTCAGGAACCACCATCAACATCAGCAACGGGATGATCATCATTATGCATCTGGCGCACAAACTGCCCTTTAACCCGAGGACGCTGTTCTGCTAGTCTTTTCCTGCTTAGATATCGGACCTGTAAAAGAAAATTAAGCATTAATCATCTAACAATGCTTCAGACAATGCGTTTGAGTCAGTATGTCAAAGTGAGTTAGGCAAGACCGTTATCAGATTCAAGATCGTGAGATACGCAGTGAAACAAGCCATTGGAGTTACCAAACTTGTAAGAAGTTAGAACTGCCGATGGCATCATGAAGTGATAATTGAATCAATGGTATCTCATTGTGGAAGTAGCTGCAAAATTCGTTGCAGTACCTTTTTCTCATAGCACCTCTCTTTCCGCTTCATTCGGAACTTCGTTAGAGCAGCTTCTCTTTGGCTGGGACAATGAGAATCTGTCCCTCTATATCCATCATAACTATGGCCACTGTCCCCATAATTTTCAGGGTTTCTCTTAACCACTGCAGCTGAAGAAGCATTTCCATCAATCTTACATGCGAGTTTATATGCACTAGTATTGTCATCATCATTATTATTCTGATTTGCAGTATCATGGCATGAGGTGTTACTAGTGCTCTGATCAACAGCAGAAGAATGCCGCCCGGCAGGATCCAAATTGCTCTTTTCATTTGCAGTTTTATCACGAGAAGTACAGATGGGATCATCAGAACAGTGATAACGTTGTTCTGAATTGTAACTTTCAGGATTGGACTGGAAAGAGTTACTTTTGAGAATGGGAGAAGGAAAACTCTCTTTCGGGCAGTTAGGTTTTGGAACTTGCGTGGAATGAACATCAGATTGCGCGTAGAACATTGGAAAACCATATCCGTACCCAGTAGGCTTATTATCAGAAGTAACAGCAGCAGCAGGAAATGGTCCAAGTTGACTGTTTGACAACTGTCTTTCGACCTGAACAAACCGATCAATGTCAAGGGTTGTCTTATTCTCTGAAGTATGATTCGTGCCGCCAAATTGTCGGGAAGTACCAACAGTTCTTCCGGATAATTTACTGGCTTCACAAGAATTCCCCCTGTTTCCACCTGCTTTAGCAGAGCTTCCCAATGGTGATGGAAACTTGCACCCGTTATACCTGTAAATATGATTTTGCCATAAAACAAAATTGCATGAGAATTAGAAAAACTAAATATAAATGCTTTTGTGATCCTTATTTCTCGTCCTCAATGATAAAAGCGTAAACAATCTCTTTTACTGGGGTACCAACGACATAGCAAAAAATGCAAGTAAAAGGCACTTGCGTAATCTTAAAATTAACAAAAATGCAGTATGAGAAAATTATTTTATCTAGAAATTTCAAAACTCGAGAAACCAAACTCCTTTAATTGTTAACAATATCATTCAAAGATTGTTCAAATTACAAAGAAATGATAATACAACACTTCATAAAATATGCTCTCTTCAGAAGCATAGCTATGTTTACCATTTAGTCAGCTTCTCCGATGTATATTCTAGACTATTCTCAGGCTCTCACAAGTATATTTTACTCCATATCAGTACCTTTATTCAGTTTCTACCCTCATTAGCTCTAGAGGTACAAGTAGAACAGGGTAAATAAGAATGAAGGATAAGTAAAGAAAAGTTTAGATGAAAAGCAAGAAAAATCCAAACCCCATTTAGGCTGATTGAAATGTATTTCTACGAGAGCATGAGGAAATATTATGTGATCTATGTCCAGTATTTTGAAATAAGTTAAGAGCTTGCCAAATCACTAGCTAAGAGTGGACTCACCAAGAAAAGGCAGAAGCCTTTGAATGGTTCAATGCCTGTTTTTCGTCAGTCGTTTGCTTCGAAGAGCTGCCAGGAAAATCTTGTCTTAGAGAAAGTTCCAATCGTGGATCAAAATCAACCTTCTTTGTACCAACACCACTGAGATTACAGCTTTCATCATAAATGTCTGGTAGATTCTTCAATGTGGCAATCAAATCAATAACTCCTTCTACCAGTCCATGGTTGCATTCATGAATCTGTGTGTCATCAGGATTGTCTCTGCTTGGCTCTGCTCTAAGAACTTCAACTTGATTCTTCTTTTCAGGACAATCACGTCCGTGATCCTGCCCAGAGTCTGTTGATTTAAAGTTCTTGTCAAACTTTGCTGCCGTTGATAACAATGCCACTGATTTCTCTGCAACAAATACGTTGTGAGATGCCAAAATTGTCAAGAGGAGAATAAAGAAAAGTTTTTATCAAAGATTGAAGACCAAACCAAAAAAAAAAAAAAAGAATTTTCATACCTCCAACTTCATTGTCATGCTTAACTGACAGCTTTTCCAATCCCAATATGGTTGAGTCTTCATGCTGCATCGTGTCAATGTTGCTCAGATTGGAAGAACTCTTCACATAGGATGTACCCTGCATATTTTGCATGCATGCACTCTCAGCTTCCAAAATTGGCGATGTACAAGTGCTCTGCAGAAGAGTTGGCAAAACATGTAGTCTCTATGTGAATTTTTATAAAGCCAACTTAATCTTAACAGGTAATACTCCTCAAGCGATAGGTGGCTTTTACATATATTGTACAAGAGGTTCTGGGTTGCTTGAGTTAACCATTACAAGTTACTTAAGTCAGGCACAGAGAAAAAAGGAGAAGTTAGAAACAATTCTATAAATTTTACAATTTTCTCCCTGTTTCACACAAAACAGACAGTAACCTGAAATACTGAGACATTAATGAATAATTTTACTAGTTTATGCTGAGAGAGACTTCGGTCTACTTGGCCAGGGGGAGGTGGGGAACCTTACTTGGGCTTCACTCCCTTTCTCAGGGTGTCCATTACTTTTCTGTGTGGAAGCCACAGAACCACTACTTGCAGCATCATTTTCAGAAGCAGCTTCCAGTTTTTTCTGCAGAAATGTCAAATTTTGGGGTTGCCGGCTAATCTGTTCAAATAATACACAATTAAACAAAGAGGAAGAAAATAGATAAATATATGTCACATAAGTATGCCAATGCAAAAAAGAAAATGAAAAATATTAATGCATTATAACCAGAAGATTGAAGAATATGACATACCTCATGTCTTCTCCATACATGTTGCCACAAGTTCCTCAGCTCATTCCTCCGAACAGGCTTTATGAGAAAATCAGCTGCACCTTTCAAAATGCATTTCAATGCCAAACTAACTGAATCATGAGTAGACATCACTGCACAACCATGAGAATAAACCCGAAACCATTAGACTCATCAAACTAAAAGAGATAGACTATTAAGACTGCTCACCATTCGATTTAACTTACTTATGACAGGAATGTTCTTGCATATATCATGTTCCATGATTAAAGTAAGGAGTGCAAATCCAGATATTGATGGCAACTCCACTTCAGTTAAAATGATATCTATTTCAGAAGCTTTTTGCTTCAACGTCTCCCATGCCTTTAGTCCATCAGGAACCGCAGCCACTGCAAGGAAAAGCATTACCACATAGATGAAGTTCAAAAGTGTTGCATGTTAAGAAATTCAACGAAAATATAAAATTACCAACGACCTCTGCCTGAAGGAAATATTTTTAACAATGCCCTCAAAGCTTTCAAACATCTTTTAAAGCAGTCCTCCTGAAACAATAACTCCTTATAACCTCGAAGAAGAAGGAGTCCATGAAAATTTTTTCATTCCACCAAAAATGGATAGAGATTTTTTCTCTTCTAAAATTTAATCATTGCAAAACATGAAATCAGAGAATTTTCCCTCTGTGTTTCACAAACCTTCGATTATGGGTAAACAAATGAAGTTAACCTAATTAATGCAAGGGATGGTTCCCAACAACTGAAGAGAGAAGTATTTTAAAAGGAGTGATGAATATTTTAAAAGTACAAAAACACAGACTGCAAAAATATATAGACCATAAGCAGGGCTCCATTATCACAGTCAGCCAAAGCCACTGCTTTTATGTTCTTCAAACAAAACTCATAGTACTATAACGGTTTAATTTGATGTCAAGATCCAACACAAGTTCACAATGAATTGAAGTGTTTGCATTTGTTCAAATGCTCCGTTCATCCATGCAGATGTCAGGGATAAAAAATGATATGGAAAGATAGGGAAAGCAGGGCTGGTTTTGTGAGTAATGAAACTATAAAAAGTTCTATGTGGCCTTCCAAGCAAACTTTCTCCTAAGCAGCACATACTTTTGAATTACATTATCTTCATAACAAGGCTTTTGGAAATTAAACTTGACCTCGTCAAAAAAGTTGCAATGGAATAAAAGTCCAGAAATCAACGCTAGAAACAGCAAAATTCACAGAAAGCATCATTAGTGAAATGGATCAAATATCACATCACCAAAACGAAGCCATCATTCATTATAATCAAAATAAACACTTCCTTAAAAAAGCGCAGAGAGAGTAAAATCACCTTTGTAACTGCATTTCCGAAGAAGGGCCGCGATAACATGACGAGTAGAATCATCCGCTTCCACAAGTAATACTCTAAGCACCATCCGGGGTAAAAACTTCTCCCACCGCACCATCTTCTTGCTCTGATCCTCCTCTGTCTCCAACCCGACCTCCATCGCCTGTTCACACGTCGCCACGACCACTTCACCCATTCTCAAACAGCATAGCACGACTCAAGCACATCCATAAAAAGCAGACACGCATGAAACAGAAGTCAAAATTTGGGAATCAAGCAGATAAAAGGAAGGAACCGTTGAGCAGCAATGAAGCAAGGAAGGAGAGAAAATCAGAAAAAGAATGAATAGGAAGCAAAATCTACCTCATCCTTAAACAACAAAAATATCTAAAAAGTCCGCAAAAATTGAGTGGAAGACGAGAGAGAGAGAGAGAGAGAGAGAGAGAGAGAGAGAGAATTTGAATACTTCGAAAACCAGCTTTCGCTCACAACCGCGAAAACCGCTAAAAATATCTCCCATTGAAATCTATTTCTCTCCCCCCCACTGGGTGTGTCAGTTTGAGCTTGATCAAAAGGTGGGCCCTCATTGGGCCGCTCTGTGCAGAAGGTGACGTGGTTAAATCTGGGCCATCGTTTACAATATTAATGGGGAGAGGATATTTTCGACGAGGATTGCCACGTCGGCGTCCGTGCCACCACACTTTTGATATTGTGGTAAGAAAGACGACACGTGGAACGTTTTCGAAATCCTTTCAGATTTTGTGGCTCCTGGCGCAGACTTGTTCTCGAGACCCACGCCAATGGATGAATCTTCTTCATACAGTAGTTAATTAATTAATTAAATAGCACATGCCAGTTGCCGCCCCACTTTCTTATTCTTATATTATCCGATTTCCAGAACTTTTTTTTTATTTTTCTTTTTGCCAGAATTATCCATAAGTTAATTAACTAGTAAATAAATTGAATAATTATTCTAAAGACGAAAAAATAATCCATAATTATCATTAGTGAAAATATTATATACTAAATTGCTACTAACTCAACGAAATAATTTCATTTTGAGGCTAAAAATAATTTATGTCTTAATTTAACAAAACTCGTTCAATTTCATATTTCTATATTTTTCAATTAGAGACTAAGTAGATGTGGACGAAAAAGAACAGGCTAAAGATACAAGATAATGTTAATTAAGATCAGAACAGTATATCAGAACAGACTAGTATTTCTTAGAGAGCCGCTTGCGCAATTCATGAAATATGCATGTCAATTGTTTTGGGGGGGGGGGAGGTGGGGGAAGAAATATGTATGTTAATTATATTACCCGCAAACTATTTTCTCTCATCTTAATTTATAATTTTTTTTTAAAGTTAACATCTTAAAATGCAAGATATCTCAAAATTTCTTTATTATTAATACTTTATAGTAGATATTATTTTTTATTATATTCTTTTTCTCATTAATATTATTTTACAAATAAAATATTAAATAAAATATATTGTAAAATTTTTATTTTTTTTTTGAAAAAAACCAAATAAGGTTTTTTAACACCAAGAACTATATGTTTCTAGCTTGTACTCATTTCAATTGGCTGAATATCATTCAAATCATATTAAGATGGGTCTCAATCCGGCCCAAAGGCAATTAGGACGAGATAGAAAAGGAATTCAGGATAAGACAGGACACGAGATTACCATCAAAACGTCCTGTCCCGTCCTGAATATTATATATATTATTTTTTATTTTAAAAATATATATTAAATATATTAATTATATTAATATAATTTATAGTTATATTAATTATATCAATTATAATTTCAATACTTGCAATTCTTACATAAAGCTAAAGTTTTTTATATTAATGATTTTAATTACATAGAGTAAACAGGGTGATATCTTTCTTTATGATATATTAATTATATTAATATAATTTATATATATATATATCTATTTAATAAGTTTTATTTATATCATATTTCTTGTTTTATTTTTGCAAGAGTAATTAACTTAGCACATCTCAACTGGAGTAGAAGAATAATAATTTGATGTTATGCTTGGCTTGTTTGTTATTATTGCCCTTTTAACCTAGAGATCACTTATAAATTGTAATTGCTATCATAATGTGTAGTTATAATTAATATAATTCAATAATTGATTTTAAATTGTTGTAATTTATGTACTTGCGTTGTTTTGATTTTAAGCTTAATAAATCATATGATTTAAAATTTTAATGAATATTATTATTCAAACTTTTTTTGACCATTGTCTAATTTATTAGAACGGCGAGATATCCCGATCTCGTCTCAATTCATAACGGGACAAGACGGGATACAGGATAAAAATTTAATTTTGATCTTTTATTTTGGACATGATACGAGACAAGAGTGTCTTGATCTCATCTCATCTCATAAACACCCTTACCAATAGGGGTGTTTATAGATTTGGTTTGGTTTGATTTTGTGCAAAAACCAGACCGAACTGAACCAATCGATTTGAGCATTTGTGAAACTTGATCAATTTCAACTGAAATCAGTTTAGTTTGGCTTTTGTTTTGGTTTGGTTTGGTTAAAGTTTGAATTAAGCTTTAATGAATTTATTTGATTTTTTTCCCATATTTGTGATAGTTGAATTTCTTTTATCTTGAATTGATTTATGCATTGTTAGCTTTTTCATTGTATGGAAGGTTATTGCTTACCTCATGCTCTATTTCAATTACAATCATAACATATTTGTGAAAATTGAAAAGTTTTTGAACCTTGATTAATCATGTATCATATGCATACATGTTCATCTTTTATTTTTATTTTTATTTTGCTTGGTCTCAAACGAATCACAGATAAAAAAAATATGTTCATATTATATTAATCTTATACATTTATTCATTTCATTAGCCTTGAATATATTATATCTTCATGATCTTATCAATTTCCTTGTGTCATCCAATACACACACACACAATGCAAATTAATTTAATGATTGCAAGTAGCAAAAAATTAAAAAGATGGTGATTAACTATTCATCTTCATAATCATATTAGATGCACTAATTGAATCTTCATGGAAAAAATCCATCACCTAATAGCAACAGCAAACATATAAATATCCTGAAACTAAATATCTAAAATTTTAAATATCACGCTATTTAATAGTAATACTTACACCTATAGTTTTATACATATATATTCAAAATATAATATCCAATATCCATATTTCAATATCATAATATTCACTTATATTATATCAACTGCCTATTATTCAAAAAAAATTGATATATTTAATTAGATACATATTATATAAATAAATACTATTTTTAATTAAGTTTGGTTCAAATTCGGTTCGATTTTTATATTTCAAAACTAAAACCAAACCGAGCCAATCAATTTGTATGTCATAAAAATTAAAGTAGAATTAATCAATGATTAATTTTAATTGGTTCATTTCAATTTAGATCGATTTGGTTTGGTCTTTTTAATTTGTATTAATTTTAAACACCCTTACCAGGAGCATCTTCAAAAAAAGGTAATTTGAATTACCGAAAATAAAAAAATTAGGCTGTCCAGGACAAAACAGAATCCCAGAAAGAGAGCAGAATGTCATGACTTTGGGCTACATAACATAGAACCCAACCAAGGTCACTTCCTTGACCCAAAAGAAAGCAGGCTTCTTATGCTATAAGGTTCAAACTTGGTAACTCATCTCTTCGCCACCATTTCTGGCTTCCGCTCTTCCCGATCCCGAAACCCGAACCAGAAGGGATGCTCAGACCAAATCTCCGTTCCTTCAAAACTATAACAACCATCTCTTCTGTTCATATCTCACCTCTAAGGAAACACCTACTGTCCCTCTTCTTCTCATCACTGCCTCATCAGTTGCAGAGCCCAATTCAACACCAGGAGCATCATCAAGCTGTCGATTCCTCATATTCTGATGGTTCAAGTTCATCAATTGGGTCTCCTGCCAGAGTCCAGAAGCTCATAGCTTCGCAACCGAACCCTCTTCTCGCCAAGGAAATCTTCGACTACGCCTCTCGCCAACCCGACTTCCGTCACTCTTACTCGACCTACCTCATTCTCATTCTCAAACTGGGCCGCGCCAGATACTTCTCCCTCGTTGATGATCTCCTTCGTCGCTTGAAATCGGATTCGCAACCCATTACTCCTACACTCTTTTCATACTTGATCAAAGTCTACGGTGAAGCTGGTTTGCCTGATAAAGCCCTCAAAACCTTCTACACTATGATGCAATTTGATTGTAAACCTTTACCCAAACACCTGAACCGCATTCTTGAAATTCTCGTGGCTCACAGGAATTATGTGCGACCCGCTTTTGATCTCTTCAGAGATGCTCATAGGTATGGAGTAATGCCTAATACAAAGTCATACAATATTCTGATGCGGGCGTTTTGTTTAAATGGAGATATAAGTATTGCCTTCTCACTGTTCAACAAAATGTTTAAGAGAGATCTCTTTCCAGATATAGATTCTTATAGAATTTTGATGCAGGGATTGTGTAGAAAGAGTCAAGTAAATGGGGCTGTTGACTTGTTGGAGGATATGTTGAACAAAGGGTTGGTACCAGATACATTAACCTATACTACTTTGCTGAATAGTTTGTGTAGGAAAAAGAAGCTCAGAGAAGCATACAAACTTCTTTGCAGGATGAAGGTTAAGGGATGCAATCCTGACATTGTTCATTATAATACTGTTATACTGGGGTTCTGCAGGGTAGGCCGTGCTCTTGATGCTTGTAAGGTTATTGATGACATGCAATCAAATGGGTGTTTACCCAATTTGGTATCTTACCGTACTTTGACAAATGGTTTATGCGATGAGGGAATGTTAGATGAGGCAAACAGGTACATGGAGGACATGTTGTCAAAAGGATTTTTTCCCCATTTCTCTGTTATTCACGCCTTAGTTAAGGGCTACTGCAATGTTGGTAAGATTGATGAAGCTTGTAGAGTGCTCACTAAATCGCTAGAACATGGGGAAGTGCCTCACATGGATAGTTGGGCGATCATAATACCTAGAATCTGTGAAGTGGAGGATAATGCCAAGATGAGGGATATTTTTGAAGGAGTTCTGAAGATTGAAATAAAAGGTAACACTAGAATAGTGGAGGCTGGTATCGGTTTGGAGAATTACTTGATTAGGAAGATACAATCAAGGTCAAGGGGACATTAAACATATCCCATCTACATGGCTAACGATTTGTTTCTGACCTCTGTTTATCATGTCGGATCCTGCCTATTTAGTCTCAGATGAGAATCCCCATTCCTTGATGGTATGAGTACTCTAATTGCTCCTTGGGTGTTCGTTTGTATATAAATGATCTTACATAAATGATGTATTCGGGGTTCTGACTGGTCATTGTGTCAATCTTATCTTTCACATTATGTGTTACATAAGACTCCTTGACAATATGTTTGGATAGAACACTTGTTTAATCACACTGTAATTTATGCCTACACTCGGTGCAGGTATATGAACCTTGTGAAAAGAGATGCCACCACCATAGTTATAAGCCATAAGCACTCATTGCTCCTGTTAGATCTTCAAGGCTGTTTGTACATGCTAGTTACATAACAGGCGTTTCAGAATTTACAAGCATTGTGCTGTAACATGCAAAAGACATAATAGTGTTCCCGAGTTCATATTCAATGATCCCCGAAGTTCAAGCTCTGACACAAATATGCAAGTTGGTATAAAATTCAAACTTTACTGACTGAACTACAACCCTTGCAACACCTTTGATATTTACTGACTGCAAGTTGAAATATCACAAAAACATACGCATGGATCCAAATCTTGATGGCGCTGCCAAAGAAATATATAAATAACCTTTTCTTCAGTATTGCGTCTTTCACACAATAAATTCTCAACTTTAGAAACTTTGCTCCGATCTGAAACAACCAAAATTGTAGTCATCATTATACAGAAATTTAAACAGAAAAAGTGCCATGTAAACTTAGCATGCGCCAAACTGATTCAGTGTGTTTTGATACCGCATTTTTTTAAAGAAAAAGAATTGTTTTGCAGCTACATGGTCATTGATCACATAAAAAATCTGCTGTTTTACAGCTAGATAGCCCTCAATATGATAAAACTAGAGCAGATCATGTACATCGCATACAATAAGTCTTATCTTACTAGATGGCTCGACTACATGGATTGTATAATGCCATTGAACTCTATCTTTTATCAAATTTTTAGGAATTTTTTAACTAAGAGGTGTTATTTAACAACTTTCATATGTATTTTTTTTGCCCTTCTTCTATCCTTTTTAATAAGACTCAAAATTATACATTTCATTTTCCTCACTAGTGCCTCTCGCAATTTTCTTTGTACATGTTTGCACTATCTCAGACGATTTTCTATCATTTTTCTCTTAATAGTTGCTATGCCCACCTTTTCTCATACGTGCTTATTTTTGTTTTTATCTTTATGTGTATATCCATACATTCATCTCAACATTTTTATTTTTGCTACTCTAACTTTATTTTCTTGCTATCCCGTTAAAGCTCAAAATTCATTATCACATGATATAGCTAGTTTTATAGTAATTAGATAAAACTTCCATTTAAGTTTATTTGGTACCTTATAATTGCAAATAACTGTTTTAGCTTTTCTCAAATTAAACCACTCAGTTTGTATCCTATATGCAATATCTCTAAATATTTAAACCTTTTCACTTAAGATATAATTTGATCTCCCAATTTTACTTCCAAATTACGACTGACTGATCTTTTATCAAAATTACAATGTAAATATTCCATCTTACTCCTACTTAGATAAAAACCTTTTAACTCTAATATCCTCCTTCATAACTCAAGTTTCTTGTTAATATTTTCTCTTCTTTCTGCAATAAAAACTATACCATTTATGAAATGCATGCATTTGAAAATTTTCTTTTAAATATGTTCAATCAAAACATCTAGGACCAAGTTAAACAAATAAAGACTCAAACATGATCTCTAATGTAGTCCAATCCTTATAAAGAAGTCCTTTGTTCTATCGCCAGAGTTCTTATACTAGTTGCTGTCCCTTTATACATATCTTATATAACTCTAATATAGAAATCTTTACCATGTCCATTGCATACAATCTAAGAAATTACTTGCCCAAATAATGACTTTAGTTTGTTTTTATATCGCATGATCAAAAAGCATGGAATGGCCGCACGCAAAGTAAAATAGGTCTAGACTGTTCTTGTAGCCACAAAGCAAGTCAAGACTAGAGAAACCTCAAATATGGGAATGACATGATTGGAACATTGCAATACAACAAAAATGAAGTATCTAGGTCCAAGTTAAAATTCCATGCTTTCCAGGTCTTCAAACGGGGAACTTCGCTATACTTACATTTCAAACTCCGGCTAAGGCCCAGTCCTCTCCGTTCCTTCTCTCACTACTAGTGTACGGCCACCAAGTTCCTGCAACAAGAACCAAGTTAGGGAATCGAAGCTAAAAATGAACTAACAAGCACGAAACTGGAAAAGTGGAGGAAGCAGAATTTACGGTTCCATTAAGAGACATTGCTGCATCACGTTCTGACTGTGAAAGGAAGGAGAGAAATGCATAAATACGGCCATTCCCTTCTTTATGATCATGCAATATTCTTACACTAACCACAGTTCCAAATCTGCTAAAATGATTCCATAAGTCTTCTGGTTTAACAGCCCTAGCAAGATTGCCGACATACAACTTGTGAGGAGTTTCATAGAATATAACTTTCTGGGGTGACGAGTTCATCGTCTCAGCATTTCTCCTTCCAGGATTCATCTCAACTGAAAATCTAACCCGCATTTCACGGCCACCTATATCCTTGAGTAAATATTAAAAAAACAGGTACTGTTCAGATCAAATACACAGTCAGAACACAACGGATGAGGCACAAGAAAGGGGCCAGTTTCACTAACTGATCCATCCAATGCAGCAACTGCTTTTTTCGCCGAGTTTACTGATCCCATTGTGACATAACCACACCCTCTACTTTCACCGGTCTCATCATTTCGATCAACCTGCAGCGGAGCATTGAAATTATAAACACAAGGCATGATGATGATTCCATGCTTTCCAGTCTCAAATAAAGTTCTCAATGCTCATCATGATGTTGTGCTTATTTGCTTGTTTGGGAGGTTTGAGAAAGTTAGAATTAATGGAGGGGTGAAGTCACTGAAGTGTCAGGAGTGCGAAGGCAGATAATTCCTATCTAGGAAGTCTGAAGAAAATTTGATTGATATTTCATCCCAAATAATTCTGCATAGCTAATTAAGATTATCATGACGAAAAATGCAAACACCAAGACAATTACTCCAGAGACGACGAGTTAAGCAGTGATGAGAAACTTGTGCGTAGATGGTAGACTAATAAATTTCACGATGACCCAGTGGGGCTATTGGATAGAAAGTTCAACAAATTTAAGCAAACTATTCAAGAGATGAAAAGGAGCGATGAACTACAAACACACACACATATAGTAAAAGAAGGTGAAGCATGAGAAACCTCGGCAGATAGAACATTTCCATAAGGCTTGAACATATCGTGAAGCTGTGTTGAGCCACAGCTCCTTGGAAGGTTACAAACATATACTTCACAAGGTCTTCCCACTTTGCTTGGTTCTCTCTCGCGGGAAACGTCATCGTTTTCTGCGTCCACGTATTTTTCACCGTGAGGTTCTTCTGCAATCACCGTTTCTTTATCCACGACCACCAAAGCCGTACAAACCCTACCTCCCCTGCTCTGCCCCTTCAATAAAGAAGAGTAAGACGAAGGGCCCGGAGAGAAGATAGCGGCGATAGATAATGAATGAACCAAAGAAGGAAGAGACGATGAGCATGCAGCGAAACGTATCGCTGGAGCTGCGAATTGGGGCTTGTTTATTGATGCTGAGAAAGAAGGTGAAGTGAGGCGGAGAACCTTCGCTGCCATTTCTCCCGACTGAGAGGGCCCTTTGTAAATCACAGAGATAACGCATATAAATCGGGCGACACCCGACACCATGGAACCCAGTCGGAGCTCCGACACCGTATCCAACCATTATTAGCAATTTAGCATCATGATTTACTATCTAGATTAAATTTGAAGTAAACTTCTCGTTCATAATTTCTGAGCTTATCCAATCATTATAATTATTGTTTTGTGTTCTGCAACATATTACTGTTATTTGAATTTGAATAGAAAAGACAAATAAACAGTGGATTATAAAATTAATCAGTTATTATTATCCAATGGTTTTGAGTTTCATAATTTTTGACACTTTCCTACTTTGTACTTCAAGCATAATCCCAAGATTCACATTCTGGTTTTCATGGAGGCGTCCCAGTACATAATTTTGAATGGGAATGTTATACATATGAGGCAACAGGATCCCAATTTATGCGTAATGCGAGAACTAATTTGTCAATTTCAGGTGAAATGACGAGAGATTTAGCATGCAAAATCACTGTTAGATTGATTTTTCACCAGTGACTTCTGTTCCACCGAACAACCTAAACTCAAGGGGCAAATCTATTGCAACAGAGCTTGAGCAAAAATGGTGGCTGTTTAGTGTCATGCAAGTCTAGGTGCTATATTGCATATTGAAACTTCCTCAATCGAGGTGTCTCTTGGGTTACCATGCTATGTTCAGGCCTATTTGTTTAAATCATATGTCCCGGCGATTGTTTTTCCTTGGGATATATAAAACTCAAGGCGGAATCCCAAATCTAAAATTCGAGTTAAAGCATCTACCACTCAAGCACCAGCTTCTAGGGACCAGTTTTGGCGTCCAAGTAATCTTCATGGAATTGCTGTCTTGAGCCCTGGCCAAACAGCACAACGATCTTCCCCAATTCTGAACTCCGTACCTCCTCCATAATCAAGAATCTTCTTTTCAAGCAAAGCAGGATAAAATGCGATCAGCTCTTGCTGTGAGGTGCGATTAGTTTCTGCCCTCGATCAAAATACTGAAATCCCGTCTCTTGCCCCAGTGATGGACACCATTTGCGGTTTTAAACTTACAAAATCAAATACCATGATATAAAAATTTAAAACTAGTTTTCTAAAATTCATTTAAAAGATAATTATGGTATAAAATAATTAAATATAATTTTCAAGAACTACTATAGTTATAAAAAAGTCTCACCCAATAAAACAGATACTTGACAATTAACCTTGGTTAAAAAAGATTAATAAAAAAAACTACTAAGATCATAAAAGATTGGATATATAATTTTAAAATCAATAAGACAACCCCTACCACAATAAAGAGGAGTCTATCATGATAAATAGAACTAAATTTATAAAATAATATTTTATTTCATAAAAATATTGGCATAGTCAAGCCCTTAGATATTGTGTCATAACTCAAATTAATTACTTAAATAGTTAGTTTTGACTAAATGTGTCAACTAATAGTACTCTTATAACAAATATAAACAAGTAAATAAACAATTGAGTAAATAAATACATAATTTAAATCCCAACTGTAAATGATGAATGCTACACTGACAATTGTTATTCCTCAAACTAATTAAATGGATTTAAAGTTTTGTCAAGCAAAGTCTCAAGCTTCTGGTTGCTTCTTCATAACTCTGTTAGACTTACTTAAAAATGATTAAAAAAAGGGATGAGCACTAATGTCTTAATAATCTAAGGCCTATTTGATATTCAAGAATTGAGAATAAGAAAATGAAGTCAGACTTGGAATCCTAGTCCATGCTTGTTTGGTATGACATATTTAGGATTCTTAAGAATCTTGATTCTACCAAAATTCCTTGAATCAAATTCCCTCCTCACCCTTAAAGAATCGGATTCTTTTGCATGGAATCCCATTTTGCCCTCTCTAATACCATCATCATCACCATCAACCTTCAACCTCTAGCTTTTGACAAACCTTTATCGACAACAACAAAAAAAACTTCTCCAAGTTTAATCTTGTTATTGTTGTAGTTTTGGTTCAATTTCTTTATTTTGTTGCTACTTGGTTTTGATCTTCCTTGACCTTAGTTCCGATCTTCTTTGATAGCATCTTAGGTTTCCTTAGGTTTGAGCTTCTCTACCTTCGTTCTAGCAAAAGGTTGAGCACAACATCCATGGTGGCGACAATCTTTCATTGACCACTTGATTTGCTTAACTTTGCCAAACCTCACGAGATGACAAATCGCTAGCTCCTCTTGATGAGCTATTTTTCCTTGGCTTTTTCTGTCTTGCTTGTGATGCTGCTGTTGTTAGAGCCAAGGCTGAGACTATAACAATGTTGAGGTCTTGTAAGGCTTCATGAAAATGATGGGAGATGGTGGAGTTTTGATACCTCTATTGCTAGCCTTATGTAGGGCTCCTTGGATATGGCTCAAATAAATGGTGGAGTCTTAAAAAAAATTTGGAATGAATATTTTTTTATTAGGGTTGTTTTAGTCATTTCATGTATCAATATGCATGCTAAATAATAAATAATACATGGATTTCATTTGCATACTAAACAAACTTTTATAACTCAATTCTATTCCATGTTCATTTTCAATTTTAATTCCAATTATATCAAAAATCCTTCCATCATACTAAATGAGACCTAAGGTTTACCATATACATACAAAATAACAACTACAGAAAATAACACTATTTAAGAGAAAGATAGGTAACCCCCTTTATCAGCATTATCAATTATCATCATAACAATTAAAGAGCCATCATTCATAATAGTTATATACCACATATGATCATTTGCAAAATAAGTAACCCTTTTATCATTCCATCCAACCTTATATTGCTAATTGGAACTATAGATTTATCCACAATCTGGCCTACATATTGGACTAACCAAAAGCATCTTCAAAAGTTGAGATATACTGAGCCAAAGGTATAGAGCCCAAGCCTTAAATTATGGCTCCCCTCCTTAAAGAATTCAACCAGGAGGTATCACTATCTTACATTCTCCCTTTATAAACCTCGCTAGGTAAGTATTTAGGAATATGGCTTTAAAAGAAAGGCTAACCATTGTGTGTGAAGGGAAAGCAAACCATGTGATTACTGAATCATATATATGTCTCAACATTAAAATCATCACCATCATCTCCTCAACCCATCACCAATGCATGACATGCATATGTGGCAATCATAAATGCATACAAACAGGCTTTAAAAAAATATGATACCTCACATAATCATGATAATAATCCAAGCATACTTGACCAGATTAAAGCAACTCATTAAATTCTACAATCACATCCTTTACAATTTCTCAATGATTTATCATCTAGTCTTTGTACATATATTATACTCAATTAGAAAAAATATATATATAGGAGCATACTTATGTAAGTCACCATAGCAAGTATAATTGGCATACACATGAAAAGATTTCAAGTTACCTATTTTTCTTAAACTAACAATTACGAGCCATCATTCATAACAGTTATATACGACATATGATCATATGCAAGTAGATAACCCCTTTTATCACTCTGTCCAACCTTATATTGTTGATCAAAACTATAAATTTATCCATGATATGGCCCTACGTGTTGGACTAACCAGAAGCATCTTCAAAACTCGAGATATATCAAGCTAAAGGTACAACACCCAAGTTCCAAATTATGGCTCCGCTTTTCAAAAAATTTAGCCAGGAGGTGTCAATATCTTATGTTCTCTTTTTACAAACCTTGCTAGGCAAGTATTTAGAAACATGGCTTTAAAAGAAAGGCTAACCATTGTGTGTGAAGTGGAGGCAAATCACATGATTATTGAATCATATATATCTTTCAACATCAACATCCTCACCATCATCTCCTCAGCCCATTACCGATGCATAACATGCATATGCAATAATCACAAATGCATACAAACAAGCTTTAAAAAATATATAGTAATACCTCACATAATCATGATAATAACTCAAGCATGCTTGACTAAATTAAAGTAACTCATTAAATTTCACAATCACATCCTTTATAGTTTCTCAACAATTTATCATCTAGTCTCTGTACATATATTATACTCAATTAGAAAATATATATATATATAGGCGCATACTTGTGTAAATCACCACAGCAAATATAATTGGTGTACACATGAAAAAATTTCAAGTTCCTTGTTTTTCTTGAGCTAACAAGCAATCACATAGCAAAATCAGACAAAAAAACTCTCAATAAAAGTCAACACGAGAAGGAAACATAGAGAAAGGAAAAGGCAAAGGATGAAGGGGAGAGGGAAAAAAAGAAAGAGATACATGTGTGAGAGAGTTCCTAGAAGAATCAACCACCAAAAAAGGGGGAAATGTAACTAAATAAGTAAATAACTAGAGAATTAGGGTTTTTTCTAGGTTATAAAACTACTAACTTATAAATTATAAAATTAAACTAATTTCTCTCATCATCATTTCAATACCCTTGTCTTGGAAGATATTCTAAGATAATTTGATGTATTGTAAAACTTATCAGATTCTTTGATTATTGTTTTATTTTATTTTATAATTTAATTTCAATTATTTGGTAAGATTAAATGTAAATTAGCCTAATGGCCAAGAAAAATACAATTTTCATAAATTATGAATGAGGTTTTTAAATATTTTAGAATATGACTCATTCACAAAAATCAATTATAGGTGATTTTTTTTATTCACAAAACAAATATATTATTAAACGTTGTGCATAAATTGGTTCATGAATATATCTCATATAACTAACTACATGATTTTAATATTTAATTAACTAAAATAAATTCATGCACACCCATCATATCTTTCTCCATTTCACAATAATTCCTTCCCTTTCTTGGTAGGCGAAGAAATTAAGGTGATATTCATATATTGTTTTTTTGTTGTTCTAAGAAATGCACTCTTCTGTAAGAGATGTCCCAACATAAGTAGTTCAATTTTGTAGCTTTGCAAATGAGTCTCATTGCTAGGCTTCCTTGCACGAAGATAAATGTAAACCCAAAACTTTCATTACAAAGGGATATTTGATTCTTTGTGATGAGTTAAGATGTCTATAATTTTTTATGACTTATGTTTGATCTGTTTTTGAGAAATGATTTTTTTT